ACACCTGCATCCAATGCTTTTGTGACCTGATCATAAAAGGCAATCAGGTTGGTCTGACATGACCTGCCCCTAATGAAACCGTGCTGGTTGCCCTTGAGCATCATCTCTGAGGCCAGCCCATCACAGATGTGCTCCATGATGATCTTCTCAAAGAGTTTCCCTAGGATTGAGGTAAGACTGACGGGCCTATAGTTGCCCAGGTCCTCCCTCCTCCCTTTTTTAAAGACGGGGACCACGTTGGCTATCTTCCAATCATCTGGCACCTGGCCCAAGCACCATGAGCGCTCGTAAAGCTGTGCCAAGGGCCCTGCAATAACCCCTGCTAGCTCCCTCAACACCCTGGGGTGGAGAGCATCCAGCCCCTCCAGAAGCTCTCTAACCCGGTCCTCCCCAACCTGAGGTCTGGAGGTGTCCCCCTCGAGTCCATCTTGCATCATGGTGGGGAAGAATTGGTTAAAGAGGTCTGCTTTCTCCTCTGACACAACCACCAGATTGCCCAGAGGATCTTGCAGGGGCCCCACATTTCCCAGTGCTTTCTTCATCCTCCCTATATATTTGAAAAAGGATCTCTGATGATAATGAACTCTGCTGTACTGGTAGGGCTGCATGGGGCAACCTGCTGTTAGAATTGCTGTTGGTTGATCAATGCAAGCTGTAGGCCAGTTGATGCAGTCATTTTTAAACAAATTTTCTTGTAGCAGCCTCCTTCTCCAAATCTTCCCTTTGTTAATTGCAGTCTGCCTGCCAGGATAGATGCCTTCACTTCCCCAGCTGTCTAATTTTATAGATAATGTGCACTGAAGATGCACATATTCAGCATGCCACAATTTAAAGGTTTTATAGGGCCTCAAGTTGTTACTTTTTTGGTGGGGGGAAAGGGGAGTATCATTTCACTTTTAAATTCTCATCTAACATAATAAAAGTGTTTGTCTGTCTGTAATGCTTTACGAGCACTCTGATTGGTTGTCTCTACAGCCTATCACACTTCTTACTGAAACAACCAATTGGAGTGCTCTGCAGATATACATGGCAGAGCGCTGCCATGACAGTGGGGACTGAGGGGGACGGTGGGACAGACTGGCACAGCAGAGACAGAGGGAACGGAATGGGAACCTCGCCCCTTTCTCCCCCTGGCCTTACTCCTTGGAGGCAGCGCTGGCCAGCTTCATACCCGCCATCGTGGTGGTGCTCTGTCCCCAGCAGAGGGGGATGCAGGGGACAGCAGGGATGGACAGGCATAGCAGAGTCCCACCATGACAGAGTGGATAGAACAGGGGGGCAAGGCCAGTGTCACCAGCACCCCACGCTGCTGCCACCTCCTAGAAGCAGGGCTGGAGGGAGGGGGCAGGGCCAGGCCACCGCTTGGATGTGGCAGTGGCGCAGAGTACTGACAGCAGGGCAAGCCCTGGCAAGCGGCAGTGGCACAGGATAGTGGGTAGTGGCATTCTGTCCCTGTCCTTCCCCCACCCCCTTGCAGGGAGCGGGAGGGGAAGGAGGCGGTAGCAGGAAAGAGAGGAAAGGAAGGAGAAGGAAGAGGACAGGGAATCTGGGTTTCCAGTGACAGCACACCCTGCTGCCACTGTGCCCCACCCCGCTGCCACCGCCCAGCCCCAACAACAGCCAGCAGATGTGGGGATGTTGTGTGTGGCCAGACATGGACCAGCAGCAGTGCAGGGCACTAAGTGTCGGCAGCCACTGTGGCATGCAAACTCCCCTACCCCCTGTTCCTGCGAACTGGTGATGGCGTGGGGTGGGGTGGGGTGGGGTG